AAACGCTCTAACCTTCCAATTAATTATAAAAGACTGATTTACATGACTATAATAAGGCCTATTTGGACTTACGGGGTTGAGCTATGGGGCTCCACCAAGCCTTCAAATTCCTCTCGCATACAGTCCTTGCAATCCAAAATCCTTCGTAAAATCCTCAATGCTTCTTATTTTGTTACAAATAAAATTATACATAATGTTCCTTATGTATCAGATTTGGCCCAATCCAGATATCTGTCCTTCCATAATAAACTTCATAACCATCCCAACCCTCTTGTTTCTAACCTTGCTTCCTATTCAATTCCTAATAACCCTCCGAGGCGTCTGAAAAGAAGATGGCCACGTGATCTTCTAATATAGACATATTATTAGAGTGCTACCAATAGGTAGTTTCTCAACATGTGTTTCATGTCATTATATCCATGTGCGCATTTACCAGATGTATTTTTTTGTATACAGTTGTAAATATCATATAAATAAATAAATAATAAATAAAAAACAATAAAAGTATTGGATGGGATGGCCCTCAGTTAATACTACCAACAAAATAAGCAAAACTCTTACGATATATTACATATTTATATTATAAAAACTATAGTTTTTAAAATCCTTAATCCAAATCAGCTTGAATGTATTGAAACAGAACTGGATATTCCACTTCAAATGACTCCTCCTCCTAAAGCATTTCATCCTTCCGAAATATCCAATATTATTCACAGATTACCCTCCCGCAAAGCTCCCGGCCACGACCTAATCACATCCCACATTCTTAAGCTACTTCCTCGAAAAGCCATTCTATTCCTTACTTACATTTATAACGCCGTACTCCGTTCCATATATTTTCCTGACCCTTGGAAACTATCTGTAGTCAAAATGATACATAAACCCAAAAAGCCACCAGAATACCCATCCTCTTACCGTCCTATCTCTCTTTTACCCATCATGGGCAAAATCCTGGAGAAGCTCATCTTAAAACGCCTGTATCCCATCCTAGATTCTAACCACATAATCCCTGATCACCAATTTGGATTCCGCACATCCCATTCCACTATCCAGCAATGTCATCGTGTGGTAGACGTCGTCTCCTCTGCATTGGAGCGCGGAATGTATTGCACTGGAGTTTTTCTCGACGTTGAACAGGCGTTTGATCGAGTCTGGCATCCGGGATTGCTTTACAAACTCCGTAAATTCCTTCCCCCTACATATTTTCTTATCATCAGTTCCTATCTTACTGATAGGCACTTCAAAGTAAATCACAATAATACCTATTCATCCCTCTTTTCTCAATCTGCCGCAGTTCCTCAAGGTAGTATCCTTGGTCCTATCCTTTACACAGTTTATACAGCTGACATCCCAACCCATCCTAACACTGTTATTACCACGTATGCCGAAGATACATGTGTCCTATCCGTTAATAATGACCCAACCATTGCATCCCAAACTCTTCAATCACACATCACAAGCCTTGAAGAATGGTGTCAAAACTGGAGGATTAAAATAAATTCTAATAAATCCCATCAAATCACCTTTACCCTTCGACGTAAACCTATGACCTCATGTCCCACAGTATCCTTTAATAATACCCCACTTATCCCTGTTGAACAAATCCGATACCTTGGACTTCATTTGGACAAACGTCTAACTTGGAATCCTCATACCAGACTGAAACGACAAGAAACCGCTCGACGTTTCCGACTACTCCAACACTTACTAGACAAACGCTCTAAACTTCCCCTTAATTACAAAAGACTCATATACTTGACTATAATAAGACCTATTTGGACTTACAGAGTTGAGCTCTGGGGCTCCACTAAACCATCGAATTCCTCTCGAATCCAATCCTTACAATCCAAAATCCTTCGTAAAATCCTCAATGCTCCTTACTTTGTCACTAATAAAATTATCCATAAAGATCTTAATGTTCCTTATGTTTCAGATCTGGCCCAATCCAGATACCTATCCTTCCATAATAAACTTCAGAATCATCCCAACCCTCTCGTTTCTAACCTTGCTTCCTCTTCGATTCCTGATAACCCTCCGAGGCGTCTGAAAAGAAGATGGCCCCGTGATCTCCTAATATAGTCATATCATTAGAGTGCTACCATTGGGTAGTTACTCAGCAAGTGTATTCATGTCATTATATCAATTATGTCCAAATTTACTTGATGTATTTATGTAATACAGTTGTAAATGTCATAAAGAAATTTAAAAAAAAAAAAAAAAGTATAGTTTTTAACACCTACTTATCAGGCTATAAACTTAATAGATAACAAGGACTATTTTTTACCTTATTCATTATTGAAGAAGAACGTCTGATGATTCTTATAAAATGGACACAGACAAAACTGATGAAATAAATTATAACTATAGGTACGCATATGTGTGGGTGGTAAAAATAGATGTAGTAAAGTCGCGAAGAAGGGTTAAAAAAGGCGAAAGTTGTCAATAACAAGAGTTGCAAATTATAATAATAACTTTATACAGCTGATTGTTAACATCGAGAAGTGTTTCTACTTTATCGTTAATGTTGTGCGGATTGTGCTTCAGCTGGGCAAGGAAGTGCACGACCAGATCGTAGCGGCTGAGGATGTGCCATCCAACTGCGGCGATCTGAGAGCATGCGAGGGAGTAAAACGTGGTTGTTATCACATGGAACAAGATAGAAAAATGCGAGCCGAAAACGATTCCCAAGATAAAATAGACAGAGATCGTTAGAATCTCCAAGAGCCAGGTAGACCAACTTAGGCTATGGACTTTCAGAACTCCAATGGCGGAGAGTTTTGCATCGATTTTCATCAGCTCTTCAAACATGAGTCCAAATTTTGAAGCATTCCTGAAGGCATCGATATTAGAGGAAATGTGTAGCGCAACATAAATTACTATGTTCATCAGTGATATGATTTCTAATGAAACATCATTGAAGAACTCTAAAATGAAGGAGAGGTTAAAAAAGCCAAAACATATACCAAAGCATAAATTGATAATCGAGTATATAGTTAGGATGTAAGAGAACCTGGACTCTCCCTTCTCGAACACCAGCGGAGACAGACCTAACAAAGAAGACAACCGGAACACAAGCTGAACGTGAGGACATGGCAGACCATCTTCCAATCTTCTTTTTTGTTTCCTCACTCTTATTGATTCCATCCGGCGTAAGCTCTTCAACGAACTGAACCCAGAAAAATAGTATCGACTTTTTAAATTATAGCCGTCTATTGACAAAATAATGGCTTGTGTGATGTCTAATACACATCTACTGATGGATGAGTATATCGCTCCGTAGAACTAAAAATAAAACGCGTCTAAGACATTTCCAGACGGGTTTTGTTGTATGTATTGATGAAATAGAGATTTATAAACGACTGTTATCCGTGGATTCTCTTACAGAGTATGGAGTGCTTTGAGGCTGTCTAATGATTGCATAGTAATCTCGACGGCTTCTAATATTTACCTAGTTACATGATGAATGAATATATATTAATATTTAGGCGTTAGGTGGCACTGGTCTTAGATTAAACTGTTTGCTCTGAGAGCAATGACCTCGATCAGAATAGTTCAGTAGAAAAAGAAAAGAAGAAAATATACGATAAATGTACACCTTTTCTAAAAGAGAAATTCGGCGAGACCTTCGGAGAGAGAGAGTTCACCTTGAGAGGCCTCTGGGTTAGGTCTCGCGGAACGATTCCTAAAAGAACAAAGAGCTTCTTCGTGGAACTAGGTGTTGATGTCGGGGAGCTTTTGGAATTTTGGCGTTCCATCTTTTTTTTTTTTCTATAAATTTCAGATATTGTTTTGTATCGGTTTTACCGAAATATATATATTATATAAATGTAATTATGTTGGTTAGTGGTGGTTAACAAACGATCGTCGTTAACGAAATTTTGTTTCCCTCCAGTCTACTGGTTAGCTGAGGTATATTGATTTCAGTTATTCTTTCGTTACAACTTTATATTTGAATGAACGCAAAGCTATTATCTCAGTTATACTCATCGGTTACAGTTCAAGCCGATGCAGCGTTGTATAGCTGTCTATATTCTCTTCTTAACAAGTCCTTCTTCGGTCCAAATATTTTACGCAATATTTTATTATAAAAAATTATAAGGCCTTGTTCATAACTTAATGTAAGAGGCTACGTTTCGCATATATATATTATTATTTCTTAATGATATTTACAACTGTATTAAAGAAATACATTTAATAAATTTGAACATATGGTTATAATGACGTGAAAACACTTGTTGAGTAATTACTCAATGGTAGCACTCTAATGGTATGTCTATATTAGGAGATCACGGGGCCATCTTTTTTCAGACGCTTCAGAAATTGAGGATTGTCAGGAATTAAAGAGGAAGCAAGGTTAGAAACGAGAGGGTTGGGATGATTCTGAAGTTTATTGTGGAAGGATAGGTATCTGGATTGGGCCAGATCTGAAACATAAGAAACATTAAGGTCATTATGGATGGTTTTATTTATAACAAAGTAAGAAGCATTGAGGATTTTACGAAGGATTTTGGATTGTAAAGATTGGATACGAGAGGAATTTTTGATGGTTTAGTGGATCCCTCGTAGTCCAAACAGGCCTTATTATAGTCATGTATATGATTCTTTTGTAATTAATTGGAAGTTTAGAGCGTTTGTCTAGTAAGTGCTGAAGTAATCGGAAATGTCGAGCGGTTTCTTGTCGTTTCAGTCTGGTATTCCCATATATAAACACCCACATTAAGTATTAAAACCTAACTTTTAAATTTAGGAGCAGAAAGCGCTACTTAAGTAATAATTCAATTTTAATTTGCCTGACATAATTATAATTAATTTTCTTAGGTTATATTGAGATAAAATAAAAAATGTAAACATAGGTATATTAAATAGGATGAAAGGATTAAAAATGATTTTTTAAATATTTTATTCAGGTTATAATTAAATTTCAAATCATTAAAAATATATAACAGAATAAGTTTGTCAAGAAATAACACTTTTTCAACTATAAATAATATGCAGATATAATAAATTGACAAGTGCTCTATCCTTGAATATTTTACAATTGTAGGTGTTGCCAATTAAATACTGAATTACCTAAAATTTAAATAAAACCTGTGAAGGTCTGATGAGCTCCTGTGTCAGGAACTTATGTGAAATGTGGAAAAGTGTGAAAAAAAAATTGCAAAACTATAATATAAAATTGAACAAATTTTGATTAAACTAAGAGACATAATCTTAAAAGTTCTTGAACATTACGTTTATATCTCAATAATAACATGTTACTGTTGATTTAAAGTTTCTTTACTTTCAATCTAACCTAGGAAAATTATCATTCTACCTAACCTAGGAAAATTATCATTCTACCTAACCTTGGGAAATGGTTAGAGCTGATAATTCAATGAAGAAAGTTATAATCAAAGTTAAGGCAAATAAACAGTGATCAAATTCTATTTTGTTTAAGATACCAGAATAATAAAAAGTGAACCTACTTTGAGAAGGAATTAGAAATAAGGGGTTTGATCAGAATATCTCACTGAGTAAGGTTCTGAATTCCTATGTTCATTGGTCTGAAAACAGTACTTACAAATTACTGAACCTAAGACCATCAAAAGATTGTATTGTCAGTTTTTTCATTGAAACATTTTTTTTTTTTTAATGAAATAAAATTAAAAATTATTAACTACTCCAATTATTAGACATTGAGTTCCTGAAACTGTTAAACAGAAAATATGGCAGCTCTTTATATGTCGCAATAATGGACAATCTTTCATTGCTATTTAAAAGAACAGTAGAGTTGTGTCATTATCTGTTGTAGAGGGCTGTATATATTTCTTTCTTCTTCTTCTTCGATAACGCTACACCCAATAAGAGGTCCAGGCTTTCTCCAATAGCAACCGCCATGCGTTTCTATTCAGTGCTACTGCCATCCAATTTCGCACCTTCAAATTTGTGATTCTTATGAAGGGGCTAGACCAAAATTTTCTTAGGATAGATTTTCAGGCAATCCGGCTAAATGTCTTGCCCATCTGTCTTCTAAGCTTGATGACACAAGAGATGTCCGGCTCTTGAAATAGGTCATTGGTTCTCTGTCTCCAATCATTATTCTTGTACACACTGCCATTAATTTAGCGTAATACATTCTCTTTAAATATGAGAAGTTGGTCTTCAGATCTGGCTGTGGTCTGTTTCTGAATCATAACTCAGCACAGGACGAATGAAAATCCTATAGGGAGTAATTTATCTATTTAAGAGATCTAGTTCAGAAAACTGCTTTTATCTTTTTATATGTGTATATATATATTTTTTTTGTCCATACCTTCCTCATCTTATAGGCTATACAAGGCATTCCCCAGACCAGTGGCGAGGATGGGGGATTAATGACAGATTTAAAACAGAAATGAACCGAGACAGACACTCCTAATCATTTTGTCATCTAAACTTCAGTTCACCAGATTTCCTGCTCACTCTCCTCGCCCCCTCAGCTTTTGTATCTGTAGTAGAAACAAGTTTAAAATATAACAGGTTCATTCAGTGTTTCACTGTTTTTACATCGCTATCACTGCCTCCTATTAATGTGTACCGAGAAAATTCTTCCCTTGTATCTGTTTAATCTCGAATGAAACAGTCAACTGATTCTGTTTGATGAAAGAAACTGTGTCAAATAAACAGACTGCTACTAAATACTGCACCAATCAGTAAATAGTCGAAGACTTCACACCTTCAGCTTACGAGCCTGCAGTGACCCAGCCATCACAAAATTTGGAGTTGTATTTGTGTTCCAATAGCTTCAGCTTTTGGCACACTTACAAAATTAGGTTTGTGTTTAGACAATACATGACGCTTTACATTGCTCCGTTGATTCGACTTATAATCACAGAAATCGCACATATGTTTTTTAACATGTTTTTTCGCCATGTGCCTTTCAAAGTACTGCGGATAGATTGTTTTATATGCACATAATGTGCACTCAAAGAATTTTCTATCAGTATGCATTTTTCTAATATGATCTGTTACTTTTGATTCATATACCGCTTTATAATCACAAAAAGTACAGTGAAAAGGCTTATCGTTAGAATGTCTAGCCTTCGTATGAAGTTTCAAGCTACATTGCTGAGCAGTTTTGAAGTCACACAAACTACAATGATAAGGTTTAGCATTCGTATGACGAGCAACGATGTGGGCTTTCAAGGCAGCTGCTTGTGCAGATTTATATTCACAAAAGGTGCAATGGTAAGGCCTGTTCTTTGTATGCTTGCACAATATATGTCTTTGAAGATTACTCTTGAGAATGGCTTTATAATCGCAGAGATCACAATTATAAGGTTTCTCTCCTGTATGTTGTGCCCATACATGCTTTTTCAATAAGCTAGAGTAAATAGCGGCATAATCACAAAATGTACATTGAAAGGGTTTGACTTCGGTATGTTTGTGTAATGTGTGTTGTTTCAAATTGTAGGAGTTTGCAGTTTTGTAATTACACTTGGAACATCTGTAAGGTTTGTCCAATTTATCTTTCTCTAATATTGCTTTTTTTACCTCAGTCATTTGTTGAACATGTTTTTCAATATGTTCTTTTAGTACACCTAACGAATTGAAAGATTTCCCACAGTGGTAACATGAGACAACCATCCCTAAAAAAAAATATTATTATTAATCTTCTTTCTAAAGTTTGTAATTAGTCTAAATTTATGATAATATGTTAAGCAAATAAGACCTTTCATAAATAATTGATTATTTTCTTTTATAATGCTTTGAGGTTCAGGATTTTCAATTATAGGATTAAAAAACTGATAATTAATTATACCTAACATTACATCATAAATTTAAAACTCGTAGAACTCAATATTGAAGTAGACTAATTATTTTGTATATTACAATCATACAAGTGTAGAGTTTTAGGGCAATAAATTTCAGGATTACTATGCCGAGGTGGGGGGCATACTATTGTACAAATCGCATACAATACAACTGATTGACTTATTCTGTCTCACTGTTGAAATGACTAAAAGATTTGGCAAAACTTGGCTTTGCTCAAATTCTCTATTACATTTTATGATTCTCCTTGAGAAATAACAAAAAAAATTTTAAATTTTATAAATCGATAGGTATATTAAGGCAAGTGGAATCAATTCTATGGCATTTGTGCATTGTGTGTTAAGTGCAATTATGTGAATTTTTATGGGTATGTCCAAAAAGATATTTGGTTGTCCGGAAAATAAAGTTTCCACAGAATTATAAATAATCACAACATATGTTTATTAGTATAATTTTATTTCTCTAATAAAATTTTATTTGGATATAATTATATTCCATCAGTCCAAAACTTAGCAATGGGCTAGAAGGATCGAACTTTGAAAAGAGGTTTATTGAATATTTAACAGTTGACCGTTGCATTATGAAGGAAGGAGATGGTCCGGGGTAGCAGCCATAAACAGGCTAAATAGTGGCAAAACAATTTTATTAAAAGCCAACGTTTCGACCGGACTTTGTAGGTCTTCTTCAGGGAGGTGTGTTCAGCTAAGAGTTTCACTTAGAACTCGGCTCAGTTCTAAATGAAACTCTTAGCTGAACACACCTTCCTGAAGAAGACCTGCAAAGTCCGGTCGAAACGTTGGCTTTTAATAAAATTGTTTAGCCACTATTTAGCCTATTAATAACCACCACCCCAGACCATCTCCTTCTTTTTGAAAAGAGGTAGTTCGTGAATATACAAATTTAAAAAATCTGATGGAGTGGAATACATGAAGGTCGCTGCATCACAAGTTTCACATACAAATGTTTTGATCAGAAATCGGTACTTTATATTTTTTTTCAAAAATAAGGAAATGAAAGTTAAGACAGTACAAAATTTTATTTAAAACCAATTTATTATCAAATGTTTTTCACACTCGTTTTTTGAAAATTAAGCATTGAAGACCGAAATCATATTTAAAACCGCTTAATTTTACACTTAAATAATGAATTTATTCAAAGACACAAATGCACACATTTTGTCTAGGGAAGTTTTTGTTAATTTCTAGGTAAAAAAGGAAATAAATCTAAAAGTTGATCATGTGATTTGGAAGAGCAGTAACTCAGCTTTCCAACGATTGTATTGACATTGAAATTGGAGAAAATCCTGAGAAGTTATGAATGCATTAGTTGTTAAATAGGAAAAAATCATCTAAGAAAATTGAGTAGTAAAATTTGCAATTTTAGATTTCTATAAGAGATTTAAAAGACACTAAAAATGAATCTAACTTGCTTAGTCATAACAAAAATTTACTTGGGCCTACTTTTCTGGAAGTGCCTTTCGATTTTTGTAAATTGACACATTATAATTCATTTAATACCACAGTCAATATGTTTTTCTTATTCTACACATAAAATGAAACCGATTGATATATAATAACCTAAAAGTTTAGGCAAAAAAAAAAAAATCTGAGGTGTGTGCTTTAGACCACACGATAAAGTGAAAACATCAACAAGAGAGATTAATAATATGCAATACAAATTATAAATAATAGCTCATTATAAAGAGGATGAAATGCTGAATATTTCCCTCGCTTACAGTGTGCAGGTCCAATTTTTTATTTCTGAGATATTTTAATCCATATATTCCATAAAATTTGTTATCATTTGGTTTTCAATGCTATTTTTTCTTTTTGCCTCTCTGACACGGGGTCGCCTTAGAATTCAATTTTGAAAAATAGCCCATTACAGAGAGGATGAAATGCTGAACAATTTCCTTGCTTACAGTATGCATGTCCGATTTTCAGTTTCTGAGATATTTTAATCCATACGCGAAAACACTTCAATTAGTCAACTCCAGCCGACATTATCTGAGTATTAATCCGGAGATCCTGTGACTCCCCTTGTTAGAGACTTTCTTTAATAAAACAAGCATATACACAATAATTACCTGCATCGGTTAGCGTAGGCTCTTCTATGATGATACATTCCTGCTTCACATGGCCTGAAACAACTAATAGGAGAAAATTTGATTAACAAAACAAAAATAAACGCAAGATACAAATGCATTGTATTTTCTCAAATCAAAATTTATGTTATGGTTTACAAGACATAATATAAATTTTCAAAGAACCACAAGGCACATTAGTTCTTATATTTCCTTCCAATAACTCCAGCCTTGAATGTAACAGGACTAATTTATAGAAAAGAAATTAACTAGAAAAACAGACAAGCTAGTTTATATAACAGAAAAATTGCAGATTAACATTTCAGTAGAAATCAACAATAAGTTACGAAGAAAATTAAACAAATTCTAAAGTATTGAAGAGAAGTTGGTTGGGATGTTCAGTCAATAACAAAAAGTAAAAATAAATAAATTATATTTATTTTTGCTGGCATTTTGGTCCAAAGTTCAGGCCTTCATATGAGCTAAAGAAAGACCAAGTAACAATCGGTATAAGAAACTATTAACATTAAGATGAAAATAATAATATATAGATGAAACATATAGTCTAATAACACGTAGGAAGAATAAACTTAACATTAATAAATAAGTGGAGAAGCAGAAATATGAAATATAAATAAAAGAAATATAAAATAATGATAACAAAGTTAGGAATAAAAAGTAGCGGAAGCAAATTAGAATATATAACATAACGGTAACAAATTTAGGAACTAATGAAAAAAATAAAAATAAATATTAATAGTAACATAGAGGAACTTAGAGAATAATTAATTATATGTAATATATCATAACTTTGCTTCTACTACGTTCTATTCCTGACTTTGTTAAAGTTATTTTATATTTCCTTTATTTAGATTTCATATTTCTGCCTTTCCACATATTTATTACAATTAAGTTTATTCTACCTGCATCTTCTTAGACTATACCTTTCCTCTACATATTATTATTTTATTTTTAATGTTAATAGTTTCTCATACCTATTGTTATCTGATCTTTTTTTAGCCCTGAGGAAGAAGTGAACTTTGGAACAAAACGTCGCCAAAAATAAAAATAAATATCATATATTTATTTTTACTTTTCATTTTTAACTGAACACTCCAACCAATTTCTCTTCAATTATTCACTACAGTCAACTATCAATTAACTATTAAAAATAATAAATTAACTGACTCTTTGATAACAATAACAATCCAAATTAACAAACATTTTTCTTTCTAACCTAGAGGTGCAGAACAATTATGGACTTAATAAAATTAATTTTTCACTTATTTTTCCTTATCTTTAAGTACAGATTTACTTCAACGTTGCTTCGATGTTTTCTCTTTAAAGTACAAAAAAAAAAAAAAAAAAAAATAGAATACCCGTTTTTTGTTGTTCTGTATGTTTGAAAAAACACTTTTTTCAAAATTATGCATTATTAATCTAAAAGAAAAGACAATTACCATTTATGTCTACTTCTTTCTCTTCCTCACCATCTTCTTTATCTTCGTGAGTAGATACTTCAGGAATCTTATCTACATATAAATCAGTTATTTTAATATAAGAAATGTTTTATTAGATCTTTATTCTAGGCATTATAATTACATCTTTATTTTAGTTATAATATATTAGTTTAACAATCCCAAAGAACATTTAGAGGTCAACATTTTGAACAAAAGGAAGAAAAACAAAAATTATCAATACCTGCAAATTATATATTTTTGCAAAAGTTAAAAATTTAATTATATTTCAAAATGAGAAAGATAAAACTGTAATAATAACTTGCCAATCTTGGCTCCTTTTAAAACAACCCAACCTCTACATCTCTTAATACTCGTCACAGCTTTGATTTTTTTCACTATCTTCTCTCTCTATTTTTTTTTTTAGAAATGATTAGAGGATTCATATTCCTCACATCAATTCCTATTATTAGTCTAAACATTTTTATTTTCATCATTACTAATTTACTAAAAAAAAATAACATTAACTCAATAACACTTTCAAAAATCAATAACCAAAACAAAGGATATAACCTTTGCAGTAGAACATATAAAAAATATCCATACCTTTGCTCTAAACTGTCCAATTTCAACACTTTTTTTTGTGTTTTGGAAAATTTCGTAAACTTTTCAATAACCACAGACAATATTAAAAAGGGTATACTTTTTGAGTTATTCTGAAATCTAATTTTACCACCCCTCATAACTTTTTTTACAGCTTCTTTTCGTTGAAGCATATACATAAATTTAAACGGCGTCGAGAAGAAGAAGCCAATGAAGCCAAGTTTCATTGGAATCGGTACATTCCTTTAGGAGCTATAATCTATAGCAACACAGGTTTTTTGGCAACCATCTTGAAAGGAAAAGGCAGATAGTAATGTCAATGTAGGAGGATCATCCTCGGGTGACCTTTGACTTTAAATCCGAATTTGAAAAAAATCTGTCGAGTAGTTTCAGAGAAAATGCGTAGACGGCAGAAAGACAAAACAATTTTTATTCGATTTTTGGATTCTATGTGTCCTATGTAAAACCTCAAATTTTGAAGGGGGCTAAGTTTTTGAATTTTTTGGTCGATTACAATGGTTCCTTATTGAAAATAATGAACCAAAATTGCAAAGCATTTTATTGATGGCTATGTGCCCTTTTGAAAGAAAGCTATTCAATTGGTTTGCTAGGATATCCAGATAATGACAGCAGGAGACTGTCACTTTTTTGTAATATGTTGTTACATAAAGAATGGGACAGACTAAAAGCTAAATTACTCAACAATTAACACTTTATACCTATATCTTTTATCATATTTTTCACATTACACTAAATTTCTGAAGGCTCAATTAAGAAAGCTATTCTCGAACTGATTCACTCATATTTTGTTCTCCTCTAAGGAGTAGATTTTCAAACATATTAAATAAGGAAGGCTTTTATAATTCTCACCAACCTTCATCCGTAGGTTCTTCTTTGATTTGAACCGAGAGTGCACGAGCAAAAGCAGCATCTGAAATAATATAATAATCATAATAGGGTATAAATAGAATGTGATGAATCTAAATTATATAAAATATGGTCATAAGTAATAAAAAAATAACAGAACTAGTTCAGAAGTGTCATTTCTGATTTGACACATGGGTTGAGATATATTTACACTTTACATAGAATTCTAAAAAATCAATTGACAAGAACCCGTGCTTGATGAGACTCGGACATCAACTGATAAAAACCTGTTGAGGCTTTGTCTCTTCACCAGGAATAGCAAGCCCACTTAGTGATACGGTAATATAGGAAACACTCTGATTCTGTCACAGTGATTAAACCTGAGCTGGTGATAGCTGTGACAGTAGCAACGAAATTATAGCAACGAGAATAGCGCTCAAACTGTGACAGTCGCTATAGGCGCTGCGGAACCACAGATCTGAGAACAGTGATCCATCATTACTCCAACTCCTAGGACTTCCATTGCTGTTCACACAATTTATTTATGGAATAAATTAAAGGAATAATTTATGAACTAATTATTTCCAAAATAATGGGTATTCTTCAAATTTTTTTCATGGGTATAAATATTTTAAAAAATACATATATTTATTTCTTGAACTTTGGAGAATTCAAACATTCTTCGAGATAAAGCAGTATAATTCTGAATTGAGTTATTGCTAAAATGATCATCGAAAAGTTTTTCTTTCACTATTCCGTTTATTTTTTAAATAAATTTATTTTGAAAAACATAAAATAATTATTTCTGAAATAAGTTCAAATTCCATGAATAATGAAAATATGTAAAATTTAAATATAATAATTTAAAATTACGACTACCTTTAATCAACCTTGCTATTATCACCTATTATACCTTCTAACTAGCCAATCACAGTGACCATTTATTTTACTTAAATTACATTATAGTATCAATTTACAATAATTAAAAATATTCCTTTATGAAGGTAAAATAATCTTTAATGAGAAATTTTGAATCAATTCAACAGATAGCTTAATTAATATATTTACTTTCCCATTTTTTTTTCATTAATATTGTTTTAACAAAAAATCTTCTAAAATTATCATAGAATACAATTTTAAGAACCACATTATTCTTGCAATATAAATGAATTTGAAATTAAATTAACTCAAATATTCCCTGCAGAGCTGTAGGCAGGAACCAAGGGGCTTCAATGATAGATTTCTGGGCCCCCGTCAAAAATAAAATATATCACTATAATCCTACCCCATCATTTATAATTTATGTAACAATATTACATAATGTATATAATGTTATCTATATTTTATTTGAATGTAACTTTAGAAATTAAAAATGAAACCTTGTATGCCAGGCAGGACCTTCGGAAGCAGTGCATACCAGTATAGGTACAACAAATTATTAAATATTCAAAAGGAAATCAATTATACATAAGAAAACAATGTCATTAATTTGTTTAGTTAAAGAAGAAAGTGTTCAAATTATGAGGAAATAAAGTCATTCTGGTAGTCGAGATGCTGGCAAGAAGAGTCGCAGGTGGAATTAAGTAGAAATTAAAGCGAAAAGAGGAATTAAACTGTGATTTTACGGCTTAATGAAGAGGTGATACTGTCCCTACGGAGATGTTTTATGCCAACAACCGCTACCAGTTCCGAGTAAAAAAAATTGCAGCTCTGACAAATCACTGTAATTATCCCAGAGTTGACACAGTCATTGCAGTGACGAAAAACCCCTGCCACATCCTAACACTAAGCACACCTATGAAGATGTCAAAACTTGGCTAATTTCAGAAATTCTACCATATGATCAATTTGATCTTCACCCGCCTTTCAACCTGACTAAATACTAGTTAAAAAGAACCAAAAATACTATAAAATATGAATCATTAAAAATAATAGGTGGTATAAGAATTTCTGCCACCATAGATTTCCTAAAATTACAGAAAAGTAAAATATTTAGAAGAATCCCTTTATCAGAGAAGGAATAACACCAGTATCTAAATTAAAAATGATTTCCTAACCTGACACTTCCATTTATATATTTGACGATTAATATCAAAGGAGTATCAGCTCAGTGAAACTGGCTACAGATTTCACAATTAACGAAATTAGAATTATATAAGTGAATGGAACCAATTGTAAGATTTGACAGAAGTCAAACTTGCCTTTGATAGGTGACGTTCAGGAATGTTGTCAAAATAAGGATGTGATAGCGATAATATCGATTATCGATATATTAATTTTGTTAGTGAATATTTTGAAATCGTTATTGCAACAAACATTATTAATCTGTCTTATTAATTTAATAAGAACGTTATTAATCACTGAAATAATCATTTATATAATTTAACATTCTGAAGGGAGAGTGGAAGAAGAGGGGGGGAGGGGTGCTTTGATGCGAGAGGAGTTCTCCGGTCACAGTTATACGACCGAAATTGACTTATAAAATTGATTTAACAAAAATCAAGTGTAACAGGTCGGGTGGTCGAGTGGCCTGAGACGTGTGCACGTCACCGCTCATTGCCCGGCAACCTGATAACTTTTTTTTTTCTCCCTACCTGGCATTGTTGCCGTACGGGGCAGCAACCTGATAACCGAAGTTAGTTGGAAAAAAATATTGCGAGTTCAAATTCCGGTATTCGGTGTGTTTGCTTAGTGCTGGTCCTTCCAACTGAAGCACAGGCGGATATACGGGGGGGGGAGGGCTTTCGAGATGAAGCTCCCCCCCCCCCAAAATGTTAAAATGTAACCATGTTTTATGGTAAAAAATTATGCCTTAAAGTATTGTTGCTCGTTTAATTACATATAATAGGACTTCAAGAATCACTTAAACACCATTTCATATAGGTAGTTGGTATCTTTCTGTTTTTCCAAAGTAATAATCGTTATATATATGCAAAAAAAAAAATTTCGGGCTGAAGCCCCTCCCCCAAAATTAAATCCTGGACCCGCTAGTGAACTGAAGGAAACACCTTTAATTCACATTTCGTTTACACTTGCATTTACTTCATTTACACTTTTTATATGTACTTCATTTAAATGTTTCTCAATTTGAGAATCTCAAATTATATTTCAATTAAGGTCTTCTTGTGACCAGTGAGCTTCCTCTCTCCCACCAAAACTTTCCCATTCCCCTTTCTAAATGTAAAATTGAATAAATGTTTATTTCACTGGCACATCAGACAGGTTATTGAAGAGATAATTGGGTATGATAGAACATGAAAAATACTATAGCTTAATTTTTTTTTAAATTTGCCAAATTTTGAAAGCTGTAGTTCAAAACCTACTAGGTTTATCGAGCTTATTCTGTCCTCAAATTGTATTAAATTTAATCTAGTTTAAAAATGTAAGGAAAGTTTTTGTCTATAATGTGTCCCTTTCCGGGTCAAAACGGAAAAAAAAAACATTATTTGGGGGGCTGCCGAAGTTGATAATTTTTATTTTGCAACTCAGTCACATCTCTTGTCCCCCTCCAATACAAGAAAAAAAAACTGAAACCTTCCATCACCACTTGATGTAACTTTGACTCCCCTTGGACAAAAAAATGGAGTAGATTTCAGCCAAGCCTAAGGTAATCTATCTCAGGTATAAATGTTTGCCTTGATATTTTATCTCTATGTATTTTACATTTTTTGTATGCTGAAGTAAGATGTTATATTTCAGATTTGTATTGTTGTGGTTGCCTGGTCCATGGTTAACAACAGGTATGTATTGCTATTTGAGAAGCTTATGGTTTGTTTTACATTTTCACATTAAAATCCTAAATTAATATCTTACTTTTTTTTCTTTAAATTCTTGAATTTAGGTATTCCCAATCTCAGAGAAGATATATATATATATATATATATATATATATATATATATATATATATATATATATATATATATAAATAATTGTTGTATATATATAATAATTTATATATAATATATATATATATATATATATATATATATATATATATATATATATAAATGGTTTAATAAATAATTGTTGAACTATTAAAAGACATACTAATCTAGTTCTACTATTTCAAGGAAAAGAAAACAACTGCTCTGTAGTTTTCCCAAAAAGGAAAATCCCAAAGAGGGGATGGGACAAAGGATTTTGTTTGGCAAGCAGTTGTGTGGTTGCAGTGAAGAGAGGATAGGAGAAGGGATCCTGGCTGCAGTGGGTAAAACCCAGGAATAGTATTATCAGATTGGAAGTTGTTTGACTTCTGCTAATACTCTTTCTAGACTAGTTGTTTGGAATTATAAGAGAGAGGATCTCCCAGGGAGCTTGAGTTGAGTAAAAGAAAGTGTCACCATTTTGGAAGTTGTGTTATGGCAGAAGACAGCCAAATGAATTTAGTGCTACAAAGGAAGAAACAGAATATATAGAAAAAAGGTTATCTTGGCAATTCCTACATGCTGAGTGTTTCGATCTGATTGTCAGTAACCCATACTTAAGATATATAAATATATTAATACTCTTACAATTTTGTTTATTATTATAACAACCTCTTATTTTCTTTAAGTATCCTAATTCCTTTAAGTATTACCTTTTGGAAGTATTCTAATGGTATAAAGCGATCGTCCATGAGGTCATATTATTATTTGTAAAATATAGGAGAGATGTTACATTATATATATATATATTTATATATATATATATATATATATATATATATATATATATATATATATATATATATATATATATATATACATATATTTACAACTTTTCTTTAATCGACCTTTGAGTATTAAATATAAATATATTTATTTAATTGAGAATAAGGTCGCTTATTTATTATTCAATAAACTACTAAATGTTCATTGCTTCTGCGTTTAATCAACGTTTTGATCCCGGTTTTTTTTTTAAAGTTAACCATGGGATCCTCTTAAAAGCTAGAACAACAAATAGCTCAATCGGTACACAATTATGCTTCCATGTGTTTCTAATAACAATTATTTCAAAATTTTAACCTACTTTTAAAATAGAGCTTCGATACCTTAGGCCAGGGACACACCAACAGTCTCAGCACCGCCCACCAGCACATATATTAAGCTATTGGATCGCTAAGCGTCTGCCCACCTCAGTCCTGATACCAAAGGCAAAATATTACATACAAAACAATAAAAATTGCATCTATTTTATATAAAGCAATTGAAAAATGCATCCATGATAAATATAACAGCATCAAGAACATATCTATATCAACAACAAAAACAGCTTGTATAACAACTATTGGTTATAAATTAACGTATCCAAACTAATTAACATTGAATACATACATATACATATACATATATATATACATATATCTTTGAACTGACTTTAAAATTGTTAAAAATAGAAATAAATATGAAATACTTTAAAATTGTTTAAAACATAAATAAATATCAACTACTTAAAATATATGTACAGTAGTCATCTTATAAAATGTCAACATTATAAAATCATAAAACAATATTAAAAACTATTAAAAAACTCAACTATAGTTCCCATTTTATAATTGTATTCTCACCTTTACCCAACAAACACATCAACAGATAACCAGCTGTATATATATATATATATATATATATATATATATATATACACACATATATATAAATACTAACAATACTACATATTCAGTATATTACACTCATTGTTTTATTTAATGTTTTTGTTGTGTTTTTTTATATCACTTTATTTCAACATTAAACCTTAAACCTACCCATAAGTACCCATCAATACTTATGGAAGACAATTTGATTATGAAAAGGAACCTGGCCTAAAGAATGATTTGAATTATAATTGGTGTTTTTATTGATCTGATTTTTATGTTTGTACTTATTTTATATTTTCATTATATTAAATTGCTACAATAATTTTTATTGAAGTACGTTTTATGTAATAAATAAATATGATAGGAAGTTATAATGATAGGACAATATCTTGTCCCAAGCCATTTTAATTCGGTGACTTTAATTAAAAAATAAGTGATATTAAAAAGCAAGAAAACGTGAGTAGAACGAGGCCTTGTTTATTCTATACTATTTATAGCACAAAATATAAGACCCATCACCATCAAAATATAAATTCAAGAGTTTATTTTTCGTCCATTTGGTTTTTCCTGAAGATACTCGCCTAGTACATAACTCTATTATATGTCTAAATCTATTATACAAATCTACATTTATATTTTTCTATGTACTCATACATCAACATCTTGTGAAAATTTTAATTCAAACGAACTAGGAAATCAATAAGCTGTTAAAACCTCAATAAAGGCTATCCCAAATGTTTTAAGTAAACGATTAGAAGTCCCGTGTTTCCTTCCGAAACTATTTGAAGTAGAATTGGAAATTTTTTATGGAAGAATTGTCATCACCTGTTTCCATATTTATATCATTTCCACCTTTTCTGTTCAGATTTCAGTTCGTCGGTATCCAGAGGTCATCAGCAATTTAGTTTGAAATTATTTCTTCAAAAACTAATTTATCTTCATGAACCATAAAAAAAACGTTAAATTTAGAATCTGTATACTATTTTTGTCTAGATTTCTGTTTAGTTTTTAGTGTGCTTTTAATTAAAAAAAAAAAAACATCTTTGTCACCTGTACTTTTAGGCCTTTAAAATTTATATTCAAAGGTTTAATTTGTTTCATAAACCATTTTATCCCTATTTAAGAATAAAGAGATTTATTAATTTTGTTCCTGCTACAAATTTGGATAGTCAAGAAAGAAAACAAAAAAGTTTATCATCCTTTTTTTTTTTTTTTCACTCACAAATATATCTGAAATTTTATATATGTAGCAGAAGCTGTATTAGACATAATTTTATTTGCTAATAAAATTATAATATTAAATAAAAATTGACCGTCTTCAGACATTACTTAATTGAAATGGACATGGAATGCTAAATATGAAATTAATTTCTGCTACAAGGTACTCAATATTTAATTTTTATTGTTTAAGAATTGATTAAGTCAGATGAATTGATATTGTTTGTAATTGATATGTATGTAGAGAGAAAAAAAAATATATACCTCTTATTAAAACAAAAGAGTGTATTTATTTATGTGTGTGTGTGTATATTTATATATATATATATATATATATATATATATATATATATATATATGTATATATATATATATATATATATATATATATATATATATAATATATATATATATATATTAATATATATATATGTATATATATATATACACACATATCAGTTCATAATGGAACAAAAATGACTATTTAAGCTGAATAGTGTGAGAAGATGGTCAGTTTCTTTACAAAGAGTCATGTAATATTTTGTATAGAATAGAACTATGTCTAAAATACTTCTCTTAAACAAGAGATTTGTAGTCATATAGTAAATAAAAAAAATATGGTAACATATTTTTATTTCCTGATAAGATATGCATATGTAAATATATAAAGAACTCAATATTATATAATCAGTTGCATATTCATTGATCCAATCCTAATGTCTGGTGTTTATCACTCTATCCATATCTATTTAATCATTAATCATGTAAGTAAATAAAGGAATAGCTAAAGAAGATAGTGGTTTGTTTCTTTTTCGTAGTTGCTTATATGGCTACTAGGAAGCAGTGCTATAGAGTTAGAAGCCATAATGAATATAAAAAATAATTTAATTTAATGTTATTTAACATTTTTATCAAAATTAGTATGATTTTAAGATAGCATTAAATTGATTTTCAACCTTTAAAATATCATCTTATTGTATTTACTCTGTTTGTCTGTTATTCTTACAATAATGATTTTACAACTCTTAGAAACAATTAATCCAGCCACATTTCAGTATATATATCAGAGAAAATTTAACTGCAATCGTGGAGGTCTGATGCACTCCTGTGTCAGGAATTAATGTGAAATGTGCAAACATGTGAAAAACCCTGTAAAACTGATATAAGTAAAGCTGCATTAAGCTATCTCTACACAGAGAGGGCGGATTTGGCCTCCATTTTGGTTTTCATTTATTTTTGTATTATCCAAATAAATTTAATTTTACTTGAGTACATTAATGAATTCAAGTAACAATGTTATTTACATTCTTTTAGGATATTTATATACTATTTGCATTAGAATTAGTTTCATTTACAGTGTCCATGTAGCAGTTAAGTGGCACATTTGAAAAGAATTATTTATTGTTATTAGGAAAGAACTCTGTACTAATATAGTCTTATCTCTATGTTATTATTATCATGTATCACACCTATTCTGTGGTTAATGATGTAGAGATGGTGGGCCATGATATAATATGAGAAGGAGTTGATAGAGGGGAAGAGATGGGGTCAAATAAATACTAAATTATAGAAATAGTATTATTTAATTTTTTATGCCAACGTATCGACCCACTTTGCAGTTCTTCATCAGGGTGTAGGAAGTGGCACTGCCACTGTTTGACAGCACCCCCCTCCCCCCACCGATCAACTCCTCATATTATGTGGTTAACTTAAATTATTAATAAATCAGCTGTGCTTATAATCAGTCAAGTAAAATATATCAAGGTAATAATGATATTGATACTAAAGCTAAAATATCTGATTATCAACAGCAACATTCATATCAAAACAAAACAATATATAGAACAATTAAAACATGATAAATAATTAAGTTAAAAACATTTATGTTTTTAGCACTGTCGTTATCCAAAACCATAAAAACTGTATTTTTCGATTTACATATCGTTGGGAGTTTTGATAGTATTTGTCATACGTATCCTTCTACATATATATTATCATGTCTTGGAATCATTCACAATACTTATTTAACACTAATTTTATTTTATTATTTTAAACAATACTAATTTAATTGATGTTATTTTATGTTATATGACCGATGAACACTCGGAGAAGAGAGCATTTGAGTTGTAGCTCCTCTGAAATAGGAAAATAATTATTTTTTCATCGGTCTATATTTGTTTCTGTCAGTAGTCTAAGCTTAAACAATCACAATGTAAGTATGTTTCAACAATTATCTAAAAAAACATTACTGTTCCTTTTCCATTTATTTTTTTAGATCATATCATTTTGTTAAATAAATCTTCTGTTAAATAAGATCATTTTTCTATTATTTTAGAGTGTTACCACTGGGTAGTTTCTCAACAAGTGTTTTCATGGCATTATATCCATTTGCATAGATGTATTTTTTTTTTATTACAGTTGTAAATAACATGAATAACTAAACACAACAAAATTTAAAAAAGTCATTATTTACATATAGATATTTGATATATCATTTCCAGTGTCATACTCTAAATTTGCATTCTGTATGTAACCTTCCTATTTTCTTGTTACATAATTCTTCTTAGTCTGCTTTTTAGTGGTTAAATTGTTTTTCTTGTTTATACTTAGCACTGATGAATGAAGGTTGCACTACTCAAGCAGTAACCAACTTCCACAATATATATCTATATATATATATATATATATATATATATATATATATATATATTAAATAAAAGAGATATGGGGATTCATAAAATTGATAAAAATATGGCTTTTGCAAAGTTAAGAAACTGTATGTATTTTGGATAATCTCACATCAAAGTCAGATGCAGTGATGCCCAGAAGTGGTTTATAGCGCCATTAAAATGTTTGAGGTGTCACATTTTGGAGGTGTTTTGAATTTTTGAGGGAGCACATTTCGATGAGATTGGATTTTCAAATTGAAAAGTTTTAACCAGGGAATAAGGGAAAAAACTTGGAGAGACAACAGCAAATGCAATAGAACATGATCTACATTTTTTTCAAATTTATGTATTTATTTAATGAAAAATGTCTATTATATTTGTTTCATATTAAATTTTAATTAATTCTAGATGTATACACTTCTGTTTCTTTGTTATTGTTCGATTATAATTTTAAGCATTTTAATATTGTGTATAGGAGAAGTGTATAAAGAGAGAGAAGTGAGATGAAGGGAAATTAAATGTTTAAAAAAATGTATGTATATATTTATTATACTCATATAAACTAACCACTTCTGTATATTTATTTATAAGTTTATTTATTGTCCTATGGATTAACGAGTATGCTGTGTATATAGCAACCCAATATAATTGGGCAGTAACCTTTTATATTTTATATGAAAATAAAGTGTTTCTCTCTTTTCTATCGCACGATGGTTTTAACTACAGGGGAGAAATAAAATTTCGTGGAAGAGGAGGGATATGGGATATGGATATATCTCAGGCCTGATGTGTGAATTTTTAAAAGAAAGAAGAGGTTAGTTGAGGTAATTATCACTCATATTACGTCACCACTTCTTTTAGTGGTACACATTTGGAATTAATTGCTACCATTCCGCCAAGTGGTCTACTAGAATCGTTTGTATGCAGGTGGCCATCTTGAACGATTTCTCTGTGTCCCAATGTAGGGCAACCCAGTGATGTATTGTCTTCTATGTTGTTACTATTTTGGCTACTTGTTGCGAAATATTTTAAATAATCAAATCAGAAATTCGATTCTTGATAACAAAATAATTAAATTAAAAAATAATATGGTCGTACACGATACATAAATAATCAGACACTATTTTAAAATATTTTACGCGGAATGACGTGAAGAAATATAAAAAAGAAAGATATTCTAACAAATACTGCAAAGAAAGGTGTAAGTTTGTGAAGAGGTTATCAGGAAGTGTAAGAAGTATGGAAGCGATCGATAGCTCCTAGCGCTTCATGAACTCCTGCTTCGCAGCGGAGCAGGTTTCATCAGGTCGTTCAAGTCACATCAATCACATTTTCTTTGCTTATATACTTCTAAACGAATTAAAAAAAATACTTCTATAGTCGGACTTCAATCGATATTTATGTTTTTGATTGAGTCTTTTTGTTTCCTTAGTGAACCCTTTTCATTGTTGACAAATATAAAAAAAGGGAAAAACCTACTATTCCAACTATATCAAAACTAATATTTTAATAAAATAAATTAAGGATTCAGATATAACACATTTTCGAAAATCATTGATTATTTAAATTGTAATTTTAAAACATTGAAACATAAATAAGCTTTTTTGCAACGAATCATATTTCAATACCAGTATTGGAAGGAAAATGTATGTATGAGTAGGGACGTTATTATAGTTGTAGAACAGAAATTGAACTTTTGTTCATTATAATGGTACAATAAAATTAATTTATTTTTAACTTTCATAATTATAAAAAAAAAGTTTTTTTTTAAAAATACTTACGCAAGTATTATAAATAGTGTAAAGTTCAGATCCTTTTTTATCAAATTATTAACATACGTTTAAAATTTGTGAATAGCTTCATCTTATCATAACCCACAAATTTTGCTTCCTCGCAAGTGAAGGTAGGAAAGCATTGAGTACGTGCGAGAGAAAAAAAAAAAAAATTGTATGCTCAGAATCGAAATTTTTCACTCACATTTTACGTTTCAGGCACCGAGGATCAAATTTGGTTCGGCGTCTGTTTGTAGTCAAATCGATGTAACGGGTTTATCACCAACTACAATTTATACGATTTTCATGAAATTTTCAGAGATTGTGCGGGTCGGTGTCTAGATGGTCCCAAAACAATTTTATTCAACGCTTCCGGTTACGCACGTGCAAACATATTTTTTTAGATATGACAATATTTCAGAAACGGCTCGTTCGAATTGGCTCAAAGTTAGAAAAAAGGATAGGTATCAATAAAAAAATAACGCAGTATCAAATTCATTGAAATCTGTTCTCTATTTTCTCTTATATATGCGCAAACGTGTTTTCCTTGATACGTTTATATCTCTAAAACCGCACGTTCGATTATGCTCAAATTAGGAGGAAAGTTAGGAATTAGTTAACAGATAATTAAGTGAATATCAATTATTTGACACACCTATAATCTGAAAACGGCTCGTTCAATTTTACTCAAACTTAGAGGAAATTAGGAGAACATTATAGAAATTGCACAGTATGAATTTCATTGAATTCCATTTAATAATAAAAATTAATATAAATAATTGTTAACAGTATAATGGCTGTGAAATGTGGAAGGCATTGATCATCTGTAATGTCGGTTAGGTTAATACAATATTTATATGAGATACCTCTGTTAAAAACTAATACTACATTGGCTTAATTTTATAGCGTCCCTTCCGGATTGAACACAAAATTTTCGGATTCCAAATTTTCCACATTCGCAATACTTTTTGTTGCTAAATAATTCGAATATAGTTAAGTTAAATTAAAAACTAGCATTGACCTTAAAATAGTTTCCAGCGACCTTTCATATTGCTCAACTCACGTAAAACCTCCATTTCATTTTTGTCCGAACTGATAACTGATACGCGTCACGTTCGCCCGTGCATTATATTTACGTCTTTTGTACCAGAACTGAAGATCATTTACGCAGTGTTCTTCGAAAAAGGCAAGGCAAAGCCAGGAAGAGGCGATGGGGAAACTTATACCGTAAAGTAAAAATTATTTATTTATACTTTTTATTTGTTTTTATCTTAATTAAACCAATGGTATCCCATTGGCATCGCGTCCCGGTGCCGGAAGGGAATCTCTTAACTCTGGCATTAATTAACCCCCGTCCTCACCCCGGGAAAACCTCCGTATAGCCTAAAGCGGAGGAAGGGGAGAACAAAAAATAAATAAATCAATGGTATTAGATATTATTATATAATGATGGTATTTATTTCGAAATGCAGACCATGTAAGATCTTATGCCGCCTTAACAAGCCGGCATCAATGAACAAATTTCTGAAAAAAAAATTTATATTTAAATTTGGTAGATTATTATGGAGATTGACCTCTATGCTTATATGAATTAGTTTTAGTAGTTAGGTACCTACCGACGCTGAACAAAATACAAGACTTTCGGGTGTTGTACAAATGAATGAGATGACCCAATAATCGTTAACATTTTAAATTAGTATTTATTAGGTATTGAAATCCCGAAAAATCTCAAGAAATCTCTAATTAAGGATGTGCAATGTTATGATAAAACAAGTTCTAATACATGGCGACCTGGACATTAACCAGCACCTTAGGAAGAAATATTGAAAGATTTGAGAGAAAAGTCCTCCGCATGATAACGGGAGTGATCTGGGATCAGAGTACTAACACGTAGAGAAGAAAGACCAATAAAGAATTGATGACAGAAACTAATCAATCAATGTATCTTAACGCGACGCCATGTTAGATAGGAGAAAAGGAAATAATACCGTCGAAAAACATATTATAACGAGTTTTATTGAAGATATTGATTAAGATATCTAAAAATCGGACCTTTATACTGTAAGCAAATAAAATGATCAGCATTTCACCCTGTTAGTAATGAGCTATTTTTCAAAATTGTATCTTTACATGGCGCCATGTTAGAACGACGCCTACCAAAAAATGATGAGAGACGGGAAGGAAATAATAATGACGACAACCAAATTATAACGAGTTTTATTGAAGATATGGATTCAAATATCTAGGAAACTAAATCTCGGACCTGCATAATGCCAATGAGAGAATTGTTCAGTATTTCATCCTCTTTATAATGAGCTATTTTCCAAAATTGTATCTTAAAGCGACGCCATGTTAGAACGACGAAAAGTAAAAAATGATGTCGAAAACCAAATGATAACGAGTTTTATTGAAGGTATATAAAAAAAAAAGCCTGTATCACTAACAATTCATGAAGGGTTATGGGTTATGGGTTCAATATGAGGAAGTACTGTTACAAGGCCAACGGTTGTGCAGGGAGATGACGGGCCAATATCACGCTCAACTGCCACGTTTTTTCCCTTAATTAATTATTTAATTAAGAGTATCCACTATATAGAGGCTGCATTTGGCACCAAGAGGGTCTCCCGGCCCTAGGGCCCTAGGGTCGATCCCCTTCTGATAAAAAATTACTAGTCGGATTATCAGCCGGATTCGAACCTGGGATTTCGAGCTCTGCTCACCCACTGAGCTATTCACTATTATTGAAGATATGGATTGCAATATCTAAGAAATTAAAAACTAGACCTGCATATCGTAAGCGAGGGATTTGTTCAGCATTTCATCCTCTTTATGATGAGATATTATTTATAATTTAAATTTCATATTATTAAGCTCGCCTTGTTTATGTTTTCACTTCTATCGTGTGGTCTAAAGAACGCACCTTAGTCGTTTTTTTTTTTTTTTTTTACTTTATTTTATTTTACTTTACCAATATATATTTAGCATATATTTATATAATATATATTTATATAATAGAGTGCCTTAGTTTGGACGAAACCAAAGCAGAGGGGCTGTGGAATTGAGCAAGGAGCCGGTGGTCGGGCATCACAAGTAAGATGAGGCAACTCTTCAGAGTCATATATAAGCCTTCGCTCCGCTCTTCCAAGCATTCTTCTGTCACCCTCAGAACATCATCATCAACATGAACACCTTATCTGCAGTGAGTATTTAACTCAATCAAAATTAGATTTTAAAAATTTGGTGCGACTCATCACACAACTTTCACTTACTACACTACGTTGAGTAAAAATATATTTTTTTAAAAGTTAATACATCTTAAAAAAAGCTTCAAATTAATTTCACAATGGTTTTATTATTTCCAAATAATTATATATCTAAAATAACATAACCTTACTAGTAATATAAAGAAAAACAAATAAAAGGTGATTCCTTTTATTGGCCTAAACATATTTGTTATTTCATTGTTAGTAATTTGCAAAAAAAAAAAAAAAAATAGCATTGCTTCAGTAACACCTTCAAAAACCAAAACTAAATCAAAGTATATAGACTTTGAAGTAAAACATAAAAAATATTTATACACCATATTTTTGCTCCCAAATTGTTCGATTTTAAAGATTTTTTTAGGAAATTTCTACTTTTTGAGTAATTTGGAAATCTAACTTCACCACCCCTCGTAACTTTTTTCCAGCGGATTTTCATTGACGTATCTTATACAGATAAATTTAAAAGGCATCAATAATTAGACTTTAGACAAGTTTCATTGAAATCGGTACATTCATTTATGAGCTACAGTCTATAGGAACTCAGGTTTTCCGGCCGCCATCTTGAAAGGAAAGAGCGGATAGTAATGTCGATGAAGGATCAGTCCTGTAGTCTTGGAGAAAATTAACGGACGACGGACGGACAAAACATTTGTATTAGATTTTCGAATTTTACGTATCCTGAAACGTAAAACCTCAAATTTTGAGAAAGGGGGTTAAGTTTTTTAATTTTTTGGACGATTACAATGGTTCATTATAGAAAATAATAAACCAATATTATTCAATTATAAATACTAACTTTAGATAATTAATATAAATGTTGACAATACTATGCACAACATATTTTTTTTTTTTATGAAAAGTTTTATTAACATTCAATAATAAACAAGTTGCTATAAATAGCTAAAAAATTAAAATTAATTAGCTTTTCGTCATTCTCCATTACTTTCCACTACCATATACGTTAGATATTTACTTTTCTAAAATGCTTAGCTCTCTAACGATATAACATACATCTATATCACTACCCTTATTTCCGGGCATCTGTTATCAAATTGCGAAAATATTTATTTATTTTCTCCATTATTTAATTATTAAACTTTGTTATTTATTGGAGACTTTTAATTATTTCTAATAAAACAATTAAAGATGATTTAAAGGAAGCAAGATTCGACAATTCTTACGTACCATGTTAGCCCTGTCGGACTATTACAAATAGAACAAGACGTAACTTAAAGGCCATTCAATTTTAAATCGATATAAAAAGATTAATTTGAACCGATTTCATAAAAATTCTTTGAAGGTATAAAATCGATAATATAAAATACACATACATATTTTTACGAAGCTTGATTATTTAGACTCTTATTTTTTTATTAAACTTTATGAACTGAAATATGAGTGGGCTTACATTAAAGACAGACATCTTTCATTTTAGATAAGTAGAGAAAAATCCTGTTTCTGTTCAATTGCTTAAATTTATACCGATTATGTAGATATTTTATCATGATACAACTTGAACATTCTTAAATAAAATCATCAGAAACAGTTTGAATTGAGCCTATACAACAAAAATTGACTTTTTTCATTTTCTGAAAATAACATATGTCCGCCTATGATATATTGATCTTTCTATTCTTAAAAAATAATTATAAAATGTTTCTCAGTTATTAATTATCATAGGAAATTAATAAAAGACATTGTTTATGGATGTGACCGATACATGAATATTTTTATGCTGATGTATCGTAGTAACATAGAAAAACAGCAAGGATGTACGATTATTTATTAAGGTATAAAGTATGAAAAATGTTCTCTTCCGTTTATGTCAATTTATTCATCTGCCCAACGTTCTGGACTCTTTGTCCATTTTCAGAGTCATTTCTTTTCACTGTTAGAACATTATAACGTTATTTAACTAACTTAGGTTATTATTTATTTACACTCGTGAATATTAAAACAAAACCCCGGCACTGGATAGACTTTTTGAGGGTGTTTAACTGTTGTTGGGAATTCGGGAATCTAATACTTTTGTGACATTGAGTGAGAGGAAACAATAAGAATATATATATATATATATATATATATGAAATGTGGGACTTTGAGTAAATACACTTTGAATAAATTGATTTACCTGGTTTATTATTCTTTAATTGTGAGGCCTACGGGACAACTAAATAAATACATGACTTTTAACTCCTGTCTAACAAAACTTATTTTACAACTGTAATAAGTGAATCTATTAAAGTATTATAACTTTTTTTGGGGGGAGGGGAGGAGGTCCGTCCCTTCCTCGCCGTTAAGGATATACGGGATTTTCCCGGGCCAGGGAGTGTGGGCGGGGATTTAAAACACTCCTCCGTCACCGGGACGCGAACTCGTGACTATTTTTATATCTTTGATTCATATCTCAGGTTGCCGGGCAACCTGACATATGAATCAAAAAAGTCTTATAACTATAGGCTTGATATTCTTTGTCTTCCATGTCCTGCCTCTCTCATCTCAGGTAACCATCTCGCCTCCGTGTCCCATCCTCAAGTGTCTTCTCTCTTCTCTCCAGCGTCCTCCTCTAGTTGTTGCTACCTGCTCCTTCCTTTTCATTCTTTCTTATTTATCGATTGTTTATCGATATGAGACTTTTAAATGAACAATTTGTCCACTGCACAATTGAGTACAATTCATCATTCAACTTCACCTTCCTATATATTCCTTCTCATTCCCTCACACAATGTCACATAAAGGAGTAAATACTGGGGGCTATCTACTACAAACCTTAGCCTTGAAGATGACAAATGCTATGGTCGAAACGTAGCTATACTTCAATAACAATATAAGACTGCATATCCTGGCTATTTTTTATTAATGTTATTTTTTAAAGCAGATGTACCATATATCTGTATGTGGATTTGTTTCAGGTGATCTTCCTGGCGGCCGTGAGCTGTGGCTCTGCTAGCGTCTACCCAATCGCCAACATCGGCTCTTCCTACGCAGCACACGCGATCGACCACAGCCTAGCCCTGCCCGCCGCCCCCCTCGTAGCAGCGGCACCGCCTCCAGCACCTTTAGTTCCAGCTCCAGCCCCCTTGGTCCCTGCTCCAGCTCCAGTGTTCGCCGCCCCACCGGCCCGCTTCGTCGCCCCGGGACCTGCCTTCCTACCAGCACCAGCACCAGCACCTTTCCTACCAGCACCGGCGCCTTACCTCGCACCGACCAGTCCTTTCTATGCTCCTGCTCCTTATTTAGTCTGATTTTTGTTTTAGTACAATAAAATTTATTTTTTTACTAATAAAAATCTAGTTTTTATTATTCCTTATTCTCAACAACCCTGAACACAGGCGGGTATTCTGGAGCTTTCAAGCTGAAGCCCTCTCCCCAAAAACTAAATGCTGAATCTCTCTAGCGAATTCCCTGACATTATCAGAGCTATTTGGTCATCTCCGGTGGATTAGCCTTATTGTTAGATGATACCACCCCAGAAGAGTGGAAAGACTCCAGTTTGGACGAATGGATGTTGTGTACTTATTTAATAGCGGGTAGCGTCAAAACCTCCCTTCTTATCTAATCTCATTTCACATAACCTCCCTTATCTCATCTAACCTAAGTTATTCCCTTGTTCAGTTTTTATTTCTTGTGTTAGCTGTGAGTTAGTGTTATTTAATTATCGATATTGTTACATTGAGGGAATTGCCGTCTTCTGAAGAAGGGGCTATAAAAATATTTTCAAGAGGCTGGGATATTTGTAAAGGTCAAATATTGTGATGGAGGTCATCAAATGAAGTTCGACGGGAAGATTAAATGGAGATGCTTTCGTAGATGTAACAAAACCGTTTTTATCAAGTTATCAATCAATTTTAATCCAGTTAAAAATAATTTTTTTTTTATATTTTGTTTATATCGTTTTTTCATAGTGTTTCTTTTATATGTGCATATGCTGTTTAAGTGTTTTTTTTATTATTTCATCTATTTTTATTATTTCATTTATTTTGATATATATGTTGCAATGTTTTTTAATTATATATTTATAATGTTTTGGTCTATTTTAATATATATGTTGTAAAATAAAAGAATTTTTTATTATTAAATTTTGTTTTAGTTCACAATTTCAATAATATCAATACAATACAATAAATATGAATACGAAGATATAATAATATGAATACAATACAATAAATAGGAATACGAAGAGCTTATCAGTGTTAAGGTTATAAACATTGGCAGAAAGCACTCGGACGCTACCCGCTATTAAATAAGTACCGGATGTTATATCAACGAATACGAAATCTATCCTGGATATTCCAGGCCATTCTTGAGGCAGCTGCAACCAACAGATATGACTGGCGGACCAAATTGCGGGAGGCTCTTAATCCACAAGATTTGAAATGACTTGAAAGAAAAAGAAAAAGGTTTTGAAATTTCTTCATAGTGACTAACGCTTCAAAGTGAACTGGACTTTCAGCTTGGATTTAAATGATTTTACCTTAGATTCGAAGTGAAATTTAAATCGTTAAATTCCTTCACTTTTCCAATAAAATGAGTTTGAAAATGAGAGGAACTTTGTAGGTAAACAGGTTTTTTATTTCCTCTACTATTTAATTACTTTCTTTGACGTCAGGGTCATTGTGCTCCGGTAATATGAGCTATTGAGTTTTATAAAAAAAAGTCTCAGAAACTAAAAATCGGACCTGTATACATTTCATCCTCTTTATAATAAGCTATTATATAATTAAGAGAAGTATAATTTATACTTCATATTTAAAGCCTATATAGATTTACTTTAGGGCTCTACTGAACCATCAAATTTCTCTCGTACCCAATCCCGAAAATCCAAAATCCTCAAGTCCGATTTAGCTCAATCCAGATACCTAATCTTCCATAATATAAACTTCTGAACCATCCGAACCTTCTTGTTTCTAACCTTATTTCCTCTTCTATTCCTGATAACTCTTTGGGGCGTCTGAAAAGAAGATGGTCTCGGGACCTTATAATATAGAAATTTCATTGGACTGTTACCAATGGGTAGTTTCTCTTCATGTTGTGCATGTCATGTTACTTGTTTCATATTTACTTATTTATCATTTAATACAGTTGTAAATTTAAATAACAAAAATTTAAAATAATATTTCATGTTATTAATCTCGCCTTGATGTTTTCACATTTATCGTGTGGTCTAAAAGCACATACATCAATTCGGTTTGTTTTTTAGTGAAAATTAATTACGTATCAAAACATTTTATAATGTGTTTTCATTTTTTTCAAAGAGCTCTGAGACGTCATGATCTGTTAAAATGTGTACATCGAATATTCGACAAAACGAAAATACTTTCCTTGCCTAGTAGAGGTAGATAATAACAAAGGTCATGTCTTGTTCTAAAAGAAATGTTCTTTAAGTGCTCTCGCTATCGAAAGTCTTGATCTTCGCTCGTTTAACAGCTTTTCACTTTCAAGCGATCATTGGAGTCCACTAATAGACCCAGGATCGTCAGTGGCGACTTTTGCTTAGTACAGCTTTAGGACTCAACATGCTGAACAAGGAGACCTACTTGGAGAAGGTTTTCTTGGTTTCAAAATTATTCATGGTTTTTCCTCTGAGGAAGGAGAAGAGAGGATTCTACCGCTGTACCAGGATGACCACGTTATGTTTCGCCAACATCCTCCTCATGGTCTACGGTATCGTGCAATTATCGATCTCCATGAAAGTCCCACTGGCCAACAGTCCACTTGTCCATCCTCTCTTCAATTCTGCAAGATGGATGAAAACGCTGCAAACCGCAGTCTTCATCTTATGCCCTTTATTCAACGTTAATGGTCTGAACGATATTCAGAACACCCTAACGTCCATCGATGACAGCTTGTGTGATTATGTAACTACCTTAAAAGGTCCTAAGGTTTGGCAGTATGCAAGCATCTATTTCTTTTTCGACTCAATTATATTGATAGCCAATTTATTCCTTTTACCAAAAGACGCACTTTGTGTAATTTTAATGTTTTGGGTTGTCCTTACAAACCACATCTTGGAATGTCAGTTCTTAGGATTGATCGACTTATTCGATATGCGATTCGCATCGCTGTTGGAACTCGTCCAAGGTCTGGTTCGCCGAAAACACCCTCCGCTGATGAGGAGTATCAAATTGTCCAGGATCCATCGATCCTTGTCGGAGTGTCTCCTCAGAACGAACGAGTTGTTCTCTCTGCAATTGTTGGTTCATACAACTACTTGCTTTGTTTTCTTAGCTGTGGAATCTTATTGCATCATTTTGCTGTCGTGCGAGCAATTCGTAGTTACAACTATTGTGCAATTCATCATTCAGATTATTTTAGTGATAACAGGTTTTTCAAATCTTTATCTCATCGCAAATAAAGCCCAAGCTATCACAATAAAGGTGGGACTTATTGGTTTTAGATTATGGTGTTTTTAAAATATTATAGTAAAATCATAATTGCTTGGACAATATGAGCTAAATAAACTATAATATCTAATATAACTGTTAATATAGCTCACAATAAACTATAAGGTATCTTTTGAGTAGTTCACTCTATGGTAGTTTAAAGATGCTTTAGTGAAGCAATCGAGGAAGAAAACCATTTGCGAGTTCTTACGATGGAACTGTTGCTACTACGGTTTTCAGAATCATTGATGATTCTTAAGCCTAGTCCACACTAGTAGACATGTTGAGCGATTTTAATCTCTGAGACATGCCTCAGTTTGTCTACGTAAACATGTTTATAGATCAATCCCCGTTTATAGACCTGTTGCGGGACCAAAAATCGCAGGTCTGAAGTCTTCCGATCGGAACTGGAGACATTATGCGAAGTTAGGCATGTGGCGCAACATTTTGACAGTGTGGACGTCACCAAGGCGAGATACGTCCCAGTCTGCCTCCAAATACCGAGTGGTTCGGTAACTGTTTACAGTTATTTGCCAAAAGATTTACAGTGCTTTTGAAAATTTGTCCAATGAGAAAGTTTTAAAACTAATTGAAGATTACCGTCATGAATGTCAGTCTTAATTTAATTAATAATGCATTACCTAACCTAAGTTCATCTGCGAGCACTTCGCATTTAACAACGTTTACGTTTTCGCTTTCTTTCACTTTAAATTCGTACTAAGCAGGAACTCATTGTACGCAAAGCTATGTTGTTCGTGGATGATACTAAGAAATTCACATCATAGTGTGGACGATAGACGAGAAAAAGAACGGTGTCTCTAGAGGGTCTATAGACAAATCGCGCAACATGTCTACTAGTGCGTAGTCCGTGGTAGAGACCCCTTTTTATCGAATTATTAACATCCACCTGAAACTTCGTGAATAGTTTTATCTCATCGTAACCTACAAATATCTTATTTATAAAAATTCTCGGAATCAGTGCATTTTAAATCTGAAGGTGGGCAAACTTTGTCTATTTAATTAGGTGCCAAAAACTTGTAAATACCCATTTGCTTTCCATTTTTATAGTTAAGATAATTTGAACATGAAGTCGAGAAAAAAGATTTCCATAAGAAATATTGAGCCGTTTGGATATTTAACCTCATTATTTTGACAATTTGGAGGAGTAGGTCCCGCCAAACTACCCAAAGTTTTTGTAGGCCACTTTTTTTTATCGATTTTGTGATCAAATTATCTTACGATCTAAGTAGAAAGCAAATGGGGTACGAGTTTTTAGTACCTAATTAAATAGACAAAGTTTGCCCCTCTACAGATTTAAAACGCCCCAATTCCAAGAGTTTTCTTAAATACAATAGTTATAGGTTATGAAGATATGATTCTCTTTCCGAAATTTCAGGCAGGTGTTAATAGTTTGATAAAAAGGGGTTCTGTACCATGGACTTGTGTACTTGGCTTTAGTTTCGTTAGACTAAATTTCAGCTCTGTTTCATAATATTATGCTAGGATAGATCGGAGAACTTCAAGGGGTATATTCAGTAAGTCCTGACAAACTGATAACAAAACAGATATTGATCGTTTAACAGTGTACATAATGAGACTTGAAATTATCAAAGTAATCTTACTCCCTATAATTGAAGGGCAGTAGCCGAAGAGTCCGATGATAATAAATAGCTCCTCCTCCCTCTAGGAAAAAAATGTCTTGGAACTGATCCCGGTGAAGAAAAATATTAGGAAGACTACCGAAAAAGCTCCAAGTGAGAATTTGACAGGATCCTAACAAATGGAGAACTAATATCCGAGATGAGTAGAAACGGAAGTGGGCAATAATTAAATGTATATCCTCCATAATATCGTCACATATTGAACTGAAGTGGATTCATTTGAGTTACTGATTCGGACAAACAACGATGACAGCAATTTATAAGGATTTAGTACTGCATATATATTCCAGAGAATGGATCTGCTGCCAATAACTGAAGGCTAAAGAGCGATATTTCATGAGATAGTGCAGATATAAAGCTGAAGGGGTGTCTCTCGACCTCATCTTCCTTGAAGATGCTACGGCAAAAGGGAAG